ACACACACACACTGACATGCACACATAACACAGATGAACAAACATGAATATATGAACGCATGCATACAGACACACCTATGTATGGATGCACAAGTGCACACATGCAAACACCTGGCCACAGTGACACGCTCACACATGCACAAGCTCACACATACCACATGTGCGACATGGTCACTGGGTGTCTCTGGCAGGTGCTCCGTCCTCTCCAGAAGTTCTGCTCCCTGCACCGTGTTGGTCCTGGGGCTTCCTGCCCATGGCTCTGCTTTTCCTTCTGTCTCGTCTTGGAGGGGCTTCCACAGGCCAACCCAGCCTGGACTCTGACCAGGGCCACTGTCCCAGGCCAGGGCAAAGGGCTCAGATGGCCACACTGGGTTTGACTGCCACAGCTGCTCAGGGAAGCCCAGGCCTGTGCCCAGGAGAGGGTTGGCCCAGTACAGTGTGCCCTCCTGCTCCAGGATCCTGAGGAGGGAGCAGGTCCTCCAGCACCCACCGTGCATAGAGCCAGTGTCCGGACAGGACAGCAGGACCCAGTCAGGCCTCCACACGTGACAGAATGTGCCACCTCCTCTGGGTGCCCTCACACCACTGTCACCATCAGGTGTCCGACTGTGCCTGGATTGCAGGAGCCTCCAGTCCTGGCAGGGTAGGACAGGCCAGCTAGGACGTGCCCAGGTGGATGCTGCTCCCAGGGGGCAACGGAGGGCAAGAGTCCTGAGAACAGGTGGGGAGGGGGCGCCTCTCAGGCCCACCCCAAAACCACAGGGTACAGGAGTCCACAACCTGCTCCGCAGCCCAGGAGGCCACAGCTGAGCCACGTCATGCTCATAACTGTCCAGGACACAGAGGTGGCTCCTTGGGCACCAACCTACAGTCCCTGCCCCTGTGTCCTGTGCTGCTTCTGCTGCTTCTCTCTGTCACCCCAGAGCTCTCTGCACATGGCCTCATGTCGTCCCCACCCTGCTCCTCCTTTATCCATGCTCCGTCCCCACCCAGCGGAGCCCAGGCCTGCATCTGGCCATCCAGACTCCTCCAGATGGGAGCCCAGGAGCTCAGACCCCTTGTGGGGACAGCTCCGTGTACCCCTCCCTCTTGAGCTTGGCCACTCTGTCCCCTCCCTCCCTGCTCCTCCTCCTGGGCACAGCACAGCCAGGACCAGGGGTGGCTCAGGCCGGGTCTGCTCCTCGTCCTCAGGTCCCAGAAGGGTGGACGTCCCCAAGGTTGCACTCTCCTGGCCGGGCTGCTGTGCTGCTGTGCTGTGCCAGACCCACCCAGCCCCACCCAGCTGACGCCCCCCGTGTGTCCCCCTTGCAGAGGGCGAGGTGAGCGCCGAGGAGGAAGGCTTCGAGAACCTGTGGGCCACCACCTCCACCTTCATCGTGCTCTTCCTCCTGAGCCTCTTCTACAGCACCACGGTCACCTTGTTCAAGGTAGTATGCACAGGAGGGGCCGAGAGGGTGCGGTGGAGCCTCCTGGGTCCCCCCACTGCTCCTGCCTCGTGCACAATGCTGGAAGCCCTTCACGCTGTCCCTGTGTCCTGCAGGTGAAGTGACCTCAACGGAACAAGCTTGGAGACCAAAAAGACGGAACCAAAGGGGCAACACCTTCGGGCCTGGCCCTAATTATGCCCTGATGCTGCTTTGCTGTGAACATGCTTGTTGCCCCAAAATAAACATGTTTTATCTTATTGAACTGCTGTCTGGTGAAGGTTTTTGTTTCTCTCACGCCCTTCCTGCTGCATCAGCACGTTCAGGAGCCCGCCTGGGCGTGGACCTGCGGGCCGTGCTCGGGAATGGGCAGTGGGAGCAGAAGCGGGGCCCACACGCCACCCGGGGCTCAGCGCTTGCGGCCAGATGGGGAGAATCCAGACCTGGTCACCCAGCCATGATCTGAATCAGGACACTGGAGCTCGGGCCTCTGGGCTGGTGGGTGCTCCTCACAGTCCTCTGTCCGTGGCTGTCTGTCACCCCTCTGTCACCATTCCCAGCACACGCCAGGCCTCAATCTCGCCCCAAACCTCCGTGCTGTGTGGGACGTGTGTGTGGATTCAGGAGGAGCAGCAGAGCCCCAGGAGGCGCGCCTGTCAGCACCTCGTGACCCCGCTCTGCAGGAGCACAGGCCGGCAGCTGCCCCAGCAGACGTGGACGGAGCACGGAAGTGGGTGGGAAGGATTTGGGGGAACGGGAGTCTTGCTGTGATAACAAAGTACCACAGACGTTTATTTCTCACAGTTCTGGAGGCTGGAAGTCTGAGAGGAAGGCCTGGCAGAGTCGGTGTCTGGTGGGGCCTGTTCCTGGCTGGTAGACAGTGGAAGGGCCGAGGGCCCCTCAGGCCTCATGTACAAGGGCACGAATCCCACTCACGGGGCCCCACCCTCACAACCTGATCACCTCCCAAAGTTCCACCTCCTAACCCCACCACCTTGGGGTTCCTATGAATTTTGGGGGGACACAGCATGCAGTCTGTGGCACCTGCGAGGACAACGTGCATCGGGAAAGGCTCCATCATCTCAGAACGGGAGTGCAGTGGTGGCTGGCTGAGGAGCAGTGCTGAGAAATGAGGCCCTGAGAGGTGCCAAAATTTAGCTCAGGAAATGGAGCCCTGCACAGATGATGCAGGGGCACTGTAGGGGGCTGATCGACATAGAGGATGACTGCGGGTACCTGCCGGCCATGGGCAGAATTTAGCTCAGGAAATGGAGCCCTGCACAGATGATGCGGGGGCACTGTAGGGGGCTGATCGACATAGAGGATGACTGCGGGTACCTGCCGGCCATGGGCAATATTGGACCAGCTGTGGCAGGAGGGCCTGAGTGCTGGTGTGTCGGGGGAGAGGAGATAGGGGGAGAGGGACACACAGCTCCCCAGAACCCAAGGAGGTTTCCTGGCAGAAGTGAAGGACGGTGTCTTAGGGAGGTGGGTTTTAGTCCCACGGTCCCAGGAGGAGGCAGTTTCAGGGATGAAGGGAAGCCTGAAGTTCATGTGGGGCCAGCAGTCATGGCCATGTCCTGGGCCTATAGGTGGAAATGATGTCAAAGACAGCCACAGGCCCCTGTGTCCCTGCTGGTTGCAGAGGAGCCCAGAGCCTCAGCCCCAGCCTGGCCCTGAAGGGCTGAATGTCCCAGAGATAGCAGGATGCACACTCGTGGGCTCCAGTGGAGTCCACCCCTCCAGCTGAGGCTCCATGTGGGTTGCATCCAGTTCCAGCTTCATGGTGGTCAACTGAGCTCATCATGGGCTACACCTTGAGGCTGGGGAGGGTGGGGTGAGGGCCTCTTAGAGCTCAGGGTTCACCCAGGAGTGCCGAGGAGACTGCGATGGGTTGGTGAGGAGTCCTTATGCAGGTCGTGGGCTGGCGGCTCAGGACGGCACTTGTGTTAATTAGGTACAGCGGCTGTAACAAAGAACCAGGGACTGGGTGCCTCAGACAACAGGCATTTGTTGTCTTCCCATTCTGGAGGCCAGAAGTTGAGACCAAAGTGCTGGCAGGGTTGGCTCCTTCTGTGTCAGCAGGCAGAGTCTGTGGCTTGCTCTCTCTTGTCTTGTGGTATGCTGGCCTTCCCTGCTGTTCCTCGGTTTGTGGAGCAGCACCTCAGTCTCCGCCTTCATCTTTACAAGCTGTTCTCCCTGCATGCGTGTCTGTGTCCAAATTTCTCCTTTTTTTAAAGACCCCAGTCATATTGGAATTGAGGTCCCCCATAATCTAGTATGATCTCATCTGAACTGGATACATCTACAAACTCTGTTTCTAAATAATACCACGTTCTGAGATCCTGGGGTTTCAGACGTCAGCATATCAATTTGTAGGGAGACACAATTCAACCATAACAATCTGTCATTTATATCCCCAAGTTTTTGTTTCTCTCATGTGCAAAATACTCTCATCCCATCACAAGATCCCCAAGTCTTAACCTAGTCCAGCATGAACTCTAAGTCCATAATCTCATCTGAATATCACTTAGAGCAGGTGTGAGTGAGCTCAGGGTGCTTTTCTTTCTGGAGTAAAATTTGTCTGCATCTTTGGGCCTGTGACACCAGACAACAAGTTTCCTGCTTCCCCAACACAGTGGTGGCACAGGCATAGGGCAGCATTCCATTCCAATAGGAGAAATTAGACAGAAAAACAAGTCGTGGGTCTCAAGCAAGTCCACAGCCCTGCAGGGCAAATTCCACAAGATTTTGAGGCTTGAGAACAGCCCTCTGTGGCTCAGTGCTCTGTCCTCCAGGCCACTGGGTGGCTGCCCCTCCCTCTGGGCCTGTGGTGGCCACAGCAGCCCCAACAGCCTTTGCACTCATGGATCTGACCTCAATGTCTTTCTTCCTTCACTGTCTGCCTCCTTTCCCTTCAACCCAAGCTAGTGTTGTCTCTGCAGTTATAAAATTCTCAAATACCTGGTAGACTCCCATGAAATTCATGGGGACCCAGGTCATCAGACAAGAGAGTCCTCCACAGATATTCCTGCATGACCTCGTCTCTCTGCCTGGCTTCTGCTGAGGTGGCTGATGGATCCATGATACACATATCAAATCCCTTTATCAAGTGGGGCCCAGCCACACCCTCGGCTCTCTTTCCACAGCACATCATCTGGACAGATTTTCCATCTCTTCTAACCTCTTGTGGTGGTTCCTCTTTCCTTACCTATTTCCTCTTCAGTTTATCTTTCTCCTCTCATATTTTACTATAAGCAGCAAGGAGAAATCAGGCAGCACCTTCAACACTTTGCTAAGAAATTTCTTCAGCTAAGTATCCAAGTGCATCTCTCTCCACAAAACAACAACACAATCAGGTCAAGTTCTTTGCCACTTTATGACTAGGATCACCTTTGCTTTACTTTTCATTGATGTGTTCCTCATATCTGTCTGAGTCTTCACCAGAGGGGCCTATATTTCCTTTTTTTTTTTTTTTTTTTTTTTTTTCCGTGTCCAGCAACGGATCGCAACCCT